CCTCGTGGCCCAGAGTTCCTTTCAAGATGCATGAATTCATGCACTGTGCCCCAAGTGCTGTTTTAAAAAAGAAGAAACTTTTTACCATCTGCACAGTATGGATCGAACTGAAGAGCATTATGCTAAGTGAAATAAGCCATTTGGAGAAAGATAAATATCACATGATCTCACTCATATATGGGATGTAATGAAAAACATAAACTGATGAACAAAAATAGATCCAGGACAAAGTAACATTGAACAGAATGTCCAACCTCAGACTGAAGGCAGGGGAGAGGGGTTAGAAATCAACCAAAGGACTTGTTTACATGCAAATTAGCATAACCAATGGACACTGACACTGGGATGGTAGGGGCTTGTTCTGGGGGTGAGAATGGTCTGAGGTGGTCAATTGGGGGAAAATGCGACATATGCAATTCTTTAAAATCTAGGGACATATCTAACAAAAATATAGAAAGTTTTCTGTGTAGAAAATGAAAAAAATTATAAAGAGAGATTGAAGAACACCCAACTAAGTGAGGGACTATCTTCCTTCATGGATGAAAGAATCAGTATTGTAAAGATTTCAATTGCCTTCAATCTGCACATCAATGCAATTCTAAACAAAATTGTATCAAAATCAAATGTACTTAAGTGTATGTATTTGTATGTAGTTTGACTAGCTGATCATAAAAGTTATATGGAAATGTAGATGGTCTATTAAGACTGTGAAGAAGGTGAACTCCCTTGACAGGGAATCAGGAGTATTAGAAAGCTTTGGTAAGTAAGATAGTTTTACTACAGGCATATAGATAAAGGAAAGACTATTGAACAGTCAGAAATAGACCATGTCCTGCTGAGCAGTGAAGAAATGAAAGCCTCGTTCCTGCCTGGGAGAGCGGCGAGGCGACAGCCACAGTTGACTATGGAAGATTCCCACTAGACTCACACTTTACGGACAGCACTTCAGCCTAGTTCAACAGTTCAGGGAGCTCACATTTCTCATATCGCTCAACAGATGTCACTAAGAGGATTTGCACCAGAGAAGCTGTACCTCTTCCTAGAGAGCAAGTACAGATTCAGAGGGTCATCCAGATGGCTCAGTCTTCTGTAATTCACCCACTCCATGTGCAAGTGGTATCATCTTTATCAGAAAGTGAAGAGTTTCAGGACTCACCTCGTAGGATCCTCATAGAAAGCCCACGGATCCTAGCAAGGCACCCATCTTATAGAAAAAAAATTTGGGAAGATCTGCCTTCTGAAGATACACAGGGCAGAAAAGGAGACAGAAAATCCTGGACTTTCTGCTGTTACTTCTATGTCTGCCCCAACTTCCATCTATCGGACTAGCACCGGACAGGGCATTGCCATTGCCCCCAATGGAGCCTTACAGCTGGCCACCCAGCACAGATGGATTACAGGGACTTCAGACACTAACCATGAGGAATTCAGGCAGTACTCAACAAGGTACAACAATTCTCCACTGTGCACAGCAAATACTTGTGCCCAGAAACCAGGTGGTTATACAAATTGCACCAGGAGATATGCCGACGTGTCAGATCTGTGCCACACTTTGAGAAAATTCGCTGCCACAAACTGTGGTGATGACATTTCATTTGAGTCTTACATTTCTGACAACTAAGACAGATGACCCCCCACTGAAGAGAGGAATAAGGTTGATGAAAAACAGAGAAGTGTTCTAGAATGTTGTACAAAGAAGAAAGAATACGTGAAATGCCTGGAAAATTGAGTTGCAGTCCTGGAAAAGTCAAAATAAAACTCTAATAGAACAGTTTAAAACTTTGAAAGATGTTTATTTCCATAAAAGTGTTTGATATTTGAGAAAGAAAATATTTTGGGGATATGCCTAAAAATTAAATGATTTTTTTCTTTTTAGTGGAGTTCCAAAAATTAAAAGGTCAAAAATGAAGCTTTTATTTAGGCTTTTGCAACTCACAGTCTTATGCAAGAGAACTAGTGACAGAGGATATAGCGGAAAATTATCTCAAGGAAGGTACTGGCACAACTGGTAACTCTGTAAAAAAAAAACACAAAACACTAAAAAAGCAGGAAGTAAACATTCACTAATCTGAATTTTCTACATTACAGTAGTGGTCAATAATCCAAAAATGGCAGAAAAGATAAAATTTGGTAAATTTTCAAAATTAAATCAATTTACCCTATAAATAGGTCTGCATTTCATACTGTTTTCAAAAATTAACTTTTTTCAATATTGTGCATGTGTATTTATTTTATTTCTGTCAATAATTTCTAAATTACTAAAAGAAAAACTAATGCATAACTAAATATAAATAATTATGTGTTCTGATTACATATACTTATTCTAGTGTCAAGTCTTTTAAATGGGTCTTAAGTTTGTTTATTGGGCTTGAGAGCATTTTGAAGAGCGGGAAAAACAAAATTGAAGGCCTTGTTCTAACAGACATCTAAGGTGCATGAATGGGGTGCAGTGTTTTTGTAATGTTTATTATCAGAATGGAAAGAAAACTTTAAAAGTTTGACACTTTTAAATAGTTGGTTTTTTTTATTATTCTGGAAATGGTAGTTTTCTACAAATATATAACAGATCTTTTTTATCCTATATTATGCAAGCAGTTCAGTATACATTACTTATTCTGTTGTGCTTTAATAGAATGGAATGTTTATAGGCCCTTAAAGAGATATTAGAGTATTAAAAAAAAACTTGTGAAGAAGCATACCAAAGTTTTCCAAGAGGATTTTATAATCAATTTAATGTAAGATTTATCAGAATAAAATAATGGTTTTTAAAGCAATTTTATGCTAGAGACTATTTTGTAATGTAGTGAATGGTACATTTATAAAAGTGATATCAATATGTTTTATAGCTAATATTTATAAATTCTAAAGTTGAGTTTTAATGATTATTTTAAGGTTTATATAGTTTGTTTAGTAAAATAAGAATTTGCCTCTCAAAGTATTATTTTTATATTATGAAAGTAAAGTTTCGCATTTGCTAATATCTGGATTCTAAGTTTTTATACAGTTTTTCCAAAGTTCACAAATGCTGTCAGTATACTAATGTTTAACTTCTGTTTTCCAACTTCTATACACTTTGAAATTGTAATACAAAACTATTGTGCGCTTTTTATTCATATGTATCATATTGTTGTCTATGAAATTAAAGGAAATTTGATAAAATTAAGTTTGCTGAATGTAAACTACATTGCTTGGTTTATAAATGACAAGCTCCTGATAGCCATTCTATTAATGATACTAAGTATAATGTATTTCTAGTTTTTAAATGGATCAATTTAGAATTCTGGTTTTCATAATCTATTTTAAAAGAAAATATGTTGTATGTTTTGATTTATTCAGAACCAATTGCAATTAATTAATGACATTTTTCGTTCTTAAAAAAAATAAAAGAAATGAAAGTTCAATCAGTGTACTGAAACAATTGTATAGTCATATGGAAAAAGTTGAAACTTGATTCTTTCATCATATCACACACAAAAATCAATTTCAAATGGAATGAACCTTCTATAAAATAATACAGGAGAATGCTATTGAAACTCATCAGAACACAAAAACACCTTATAAAGAGAAAGAACAATACAGTACATCGACTATGCTAGAAGTAAGATCTGTTAACCAAGTGCTACTCAAAAGAAAGAGAAAAAGAAAATTACATTGCATAAAAAGTTTCTTGCAATAGACATAGCAAATAGCAGAGCTGAAAATCCAGAAAGCATAAAGAACTCCTATAAGTCAACTGAAAAAAAAATAATCCAGGAGAAAAATGGACAGGGAAATTAAACAGAACTTTACAAAGGAAGATATCCAAATCGCCAATAAACCTATGAACACTTTCTCAATCTTATTGGTAATCTAATTAGTAATTAGAAATGCAAATGAAAGCCATAATTAAATACATCCTTGAATTGTACTGTAATTGAAAAACATGTGAACAGAGAATAAGTTCCCTCTCAACAACAACAAATTTTAATTTGAAATAAATGTTTTCCTTCAAACAGAGACTTAGCTATATTATCAGAAAACTGAAATCAATTGCTTACACTATGAGCCATGTGAAATGGACATTTTTGTAAGTAAAAAATGGTAAAAACAAACAAACAAACAAAACACAAAACAAAAAACAAACCAGTCCTGGAATTCCATATGGTTCAACTTCTATGTTCTCTAATCACCCCGGCAATGTGATTTGCCATTATATATAAAATATTTCAACCTATGGAACTAACAATAGAACTTGCTAACTACTAATGGCTTGAAGCTAATTTTCATGTAAGGCTAAAACTTGATTCTACTCAATCAATTAGGCAATATTAAAGTATTGTGTTTTCCTGGAATTCACTTGTTGTATTTACAAATGGCTTAAAAAATTTTATCCCCACCAAAATCAACTTTTTTGTATCATCTATGATAACCTATAATAATAAAAGCATAACATGCTAGTTAGACTGCACTTCCTTCTGGATGTCCTTCCGGACGAAGCCGGGGCTGTGAGGGAAGCCCAGGTCCTGGGTGCCAGGGGGAAGCCGGTGCCAGCAGGTGGGAGGAAGAAGGGCCTATGCTTGCTCAAATTTCATGCATTAGGCATCTAGTTATGCTATAAACATTTCAGATAATTTTTGTTTTATGAAATATCATTGTTTTTGGCTCTTTTAACCATAAATGATTCTTACAAAGTTAAAAAAAATCTTAAAATAAAATTAAAGGGTCTGATGATTTCTAAAGTTAAACACAGCTTTTATTTTGACTGATATTTTGAAAAATCAAAAATGAAAAAACTCAAATAGTCAATAAAGAAGGGAAAATATGTTCAATCATTCTTAGTTCTTTTATGCCTATTTTCTTTCCTTCTTTTCTCTCTCACTGCTTCCCTTTTTCCTTTACTCTTGAAGTTAATATTTTAAAATGTTAACTATTAATACTGATTAATAGCAGTATGTTTTTGTACTTTAATATATTTTTCTAATTTTTTTAAAAACAGAAATAAAAAGATAAAATGTTTTTACCTTTGCCTCCCTTACAGTGAATCACTACGATGTTTTTATCATCTTGAGCCAGCCAATTCTGTGCTTCTTTGGAAAATTCCACCATCTCACTGATTTCAAATGTAAGATTTTTAGTTGAATTAGCAGACTTCCAAAAATCAAGCCCACTGTATTTAGCCCTCTTCTTACAGTCAACTGACATAAACTTACCTCAGAAGGGGAACATTATGATCATCAATCATGATTCGATGGACCCTATAATGGAAGTACTTAGGATCATAAGATCTTTCACCTAAAAAAAATGACACATAGGTCATAGTTCTATACCTAATAAACATAGTAAATTATCAAGTTATGAATGTTATACTTTTCTCTTAGAAATGATTTATTCACCTTAAAAGGAGCTTTCTGACTGGTACTTGCTATACTAAAAGACACTTAAGAGTATCAAAAAATACAGTAGAGTGATTTGTCCATCTTGAGTAATCTAAGCCCAACTTATTCTGATTTGTTCAACAGGTCTTACTTTTAATTTTCTAATTGAAAGGCTTAAAGAGAATAAAAGGAGCAGAGAAAACTAATTGTGCTTAACAGATATCTTGCAGAAAGCTTGCAGCCTTGAGCACCGCATAGCTTAGATAACCAGAAGACACCTGGTATTGGGAGGAACCAATGATGGACCAGACCTTCACATCAGCAGAATGGCTTGCAGCCAGCAATCTGTATATATAAAAGCTTAAGCGACCATTTGATCGGTAGCTATAATACGCACTGATCACCAGGAGGCAGATGCTCAATTCAGGAGCTGCCCCCTAGTGGTCAGTGCACTCCCACCATGGGAGAGCTGCTCAGCTGACTGGTGGGCTCCAGATGCAGGACTCAAGGCGGGCAAGCACAGCTGCAGTGGCATGAGCCTCTACCGCGGACACTCTCCCTGAGCGTCCCTTCCTCATGTGGGCCAGGACCTGCACGGGAATGACTGGGCACGAGTGGCCACTTCTCAGTCATGGGTGTGGGGGTGTCGCCCTAGGATGGCTGTGGAGTCTGCAGTGGAGCGGCAGCAAGCCTCGCTTTGCGCACTATTACATCCCCCCAGGGGATGTTGGACTGCTGGTTTTGGCCCGATTCCCACACTCCACAGGGATCCCACCAGTGCATGAATCCGTGCACTGGGACTCTAGTGATTAATAAAAAATCTTTCTTTCCTTTCAGTCTCTGCAGATTCCTTTGTCGGACCCAGCCCACCTGCACCCAGGTGCATGAAATAAAAGCTTCTTTTGATACCTTATGGCCTCATGTCATAGGTGTGTGACCCCGGCCCACTCCAACCTTTCGCTAACAGGCTGCTCATTACATTATGCTAGGGTAGTCAGACATCAGAGAGCAGAAGCAAATGTGGCCAACAAGAATGCTTGCCTCCTGCAAATGTCTAATATACAGGAAGAGAAAAAAAATCAAGAGAAACATAAAGTGGAATATAATGCTTTTTTACAGGGTTTTGTTTTTGTGAGAGCCCTGTTCTCACAGTTCACCCTCAGGGGGTTAGAGAACACATTGGTTGAATTGGCAAAAAGAACAAAAACATTTTCCTAAACCTAATACCATTAGAATAGACTCTGCCTTACCTGGCTCCACTCCACTTCAGCCTCCTGCCTGTCCCACCAACGAGGCCCAGCACAGGATGGAGATTTTTTAACTCACTTCCCACTACCGCCAAATACTTATGATTAAATGAAATACAAAAACTGAATCATCTTCTTATAAGTAGTAATCTATTTTCTACCTATAGTAGTAACATATATAGTCGTGTACATACTGCAAAGATTGTAGACTAGATAGTGGTTTCGATGCTTGGTATCCAGGAACCGCACAACTTCCTAAGAAAGATGACACACATCTTACATATATCCACCTGACACCAACAAAAGCCATTTTCTAGGAATAACCTAAAATGGTTATTACCTTTTATTCATTGGTCTCTCACTTAGTTCATTGGAAATATGAGCTAATGTACATTCCAAGTCACAGCTAACCCACTGATGGTTTTTAAAAAACCCACAAAGTTTTCTTAGCTACTCTGATTGGCCTCTACTAAATATAAATATACATTGTTTAAGCTACCCAAAAAAGAAATTAGATGATAAAATAACTTTAAGTAAATTTGCACCAAATCATTAATTCACAGTAATATGTGTGTGTTTTTGTGGGTTTTTTTTAATATATATTTTATTGATTTTACACAGAGAGGAATTGAGAGGGATAGAGAGTTAGAAACATCGATGAGAGAGAAACATCGCCCAGCTGCCTCTTGCACACCCCCTACTGGGGATGTGGCCGCAACCAAGGTACATGCCCTTGACCGGAATCGAACCCGGGACCTTTCAGTCCGCAGGCCGACGCTCTATCCACTGAGCCAAACCGGTCTCGGCAAATAATATGTGGTTTTTATCTAGATCTAATTCTGAATAGATATTTCTTTTAGGTAATGATCTGATTATTACAATCTACCTCAACATTATTTAAATAAATAAATGCAAAGAAAGCATGTGGTATGATTTCTTATATATGCTTGATAAAAAAAGATGAACACATTATGTCAACTTTTAGGTAAGTGGAGGCAATTTGGAGACTATTTTTGTCTTCTTTGTGTTTTCTTATTTTCTAAAATATACAGTATATGTGCATTATGTGTATATGAATATACACATAATGTGCATATATGTATAACTTTTAAAGTAAGAAATAAGTAGTGATTTAAAAAATATATATTTTTATTTATTTCAGAGAGGAAGGGAGGAGAGAGAGATAGAAACATCAATGATGAGAAATTAATGTATCAAAGTGATGAAATTATTAATTGCTTAATCCATGTCAAATAAAAAAGATAAACATTCTGAGTCTGCATAGTATTGGGTACTATGGGGGTAAGCAGTTTTATTTACATAAAAAATTCTTAGGAGTTCAGGTATATTGAGAAATGAAATATAAAATCCCACAAGTATCTCTAAGAAATTTAAGTGAACATTAGTCAATTTTTGGATGGGGAAGAACTATGTGTTAAATCAATGAAAAACCAACAAATTTAAGTTTGTCTTCATAAAATCTGAAATTTCTGTTTTAAAAATGCCTCAGTATAACAAAAAAAGAACAGGGGAGGAGGGTTCTCAGAAAAATTAAGTGACTGGGGATCATGTTTAATATAATCTATAAATTAGTTATACTAATATAAACTAACCCATTCACAATAATTTAACTTGAAATATCTCACCCTAAAGCTAAATGGGCCAAAGACATAAATAAATTCACAATAAAGAAAATTTACTGGCTAAGAACCTACATAAAGAAATATTCACCCTCACCAATAAAGAAGTCAAAGCAAAAATGAAATGTCAGGCACCCATGAAATCGCCTTTTCCTTTTTAATGAGAAAATCCAATGCTAGTAAATGTGGCATGAAAATAAAACCTTATATACCTCAACATAATAAAAGCCATATATAATAAACCCACAGCTAACATCATACTCAATGGACAAAAACTAAAACCATTTCCCCTAAGAACAGGAACAAGACAGGGATGCCCACTCTCACCATTCCTGTTTGACATAGTACTGGAAATATTAGCCACTGCAATTAGACAAGAAGAAGAAATAAAAGGCATCCAAATTGGAAAAGAAGTAGAGCTGTCCTTATTTGCAAACGACATGATATTGTACATAAAAAATCTGAGAGACTCCTGATAAAAAAAAAACTAATAGACTTAAAATGAATTCAGCAATGTAGCAGGATACAAAATTAACTCCAAGAAATCTATGGCATTTCTGTACACCAATAGTGAACTTACAGAAAGAGAGACTAAAAAAGCAATCCCATTTATCATAGTGCCAAAAAAATTTTAAAAACCTAGACATAAACTTAACCAAGGAGGTAAAAGACCTATATGCGGGAAACTATACAACACTGAAAAAAGAGATAGAGGAAGACGTAAACAGATGGAAGAACATACCATGTTCATGGATTGGTAGAATCAACATCATTAAAATGTCCATACTACCCAAAGCAATCTATATATTCAATGCACTCCCCATTAAAATACCAATGGCATATTTCACAAACCTAGAAAGAACTCTCCCAAAATTCATCTGGAATAAAAAAAGACCCGGAATAGCCACAGCAATCCCGAGAAAGAAGAATAAAGTAGGAGGGATCTCAATACCAGATTTCACAATGTATTACAAAGCCACTGTTTTCAAAACAGCCTGGTACTGGCACAAGAACAGACATATAGATCAATGGAATAGAATAGAGAATCCAGATATCGACCCAAACCACTATGCTCAATTAATATTTGACAAAGGAGGCACGAACATACAATGGAGTCAAGACTGTCTCTTCAATAAATGGTGTTGGGAAAATTGGACAGATACATGAAAAAAAAAAAAAAAAAAAAAAAAAAAAAAGAAAGAAAGAAAGAAAGAAAAGAAACTAGATCACAAACTTAGACCATACACAAAAATAAACTCAAAATGGTTACAGGACTTAAACATAAGACAGGAAACCATAAAAATACTAGAGGAATCCACAGGCAGCAAAATCTCAGATGTATGCCGAAAGAACTTCTTCACTGATACTGCCCCTAGAGCAATGGAAGCTAAAGAGGAAATAAGCAAATGGGACTACATCAAAATAAAAAGCTTTTTTACAGTAAAGGAAACCTACAATAAAACAACAAGAAAGCCCTCTTGTATGGGAGAACATATTTGCAAATGTTACCACTGATAAAGATTTAATCTCCAACATCTACAAGCAAGTTATACAATTTAATAAAAGGAAGATAAACGATCCAATAAAAAAAATGGGCAACGGACCTAAATAGAATCTTTTCCAAAGAAGACAGAAGGAAGGCCAAGAGACATGTGAAAACATGCTAATGGCTGGTCCTTTGAAAAAATAAAGTTGACAAACCTCTAGCCAGACTCAGCAAAAAATAAGAGAGCCACCATAAATAAAATCAGAAAGTAAAGAGGAGAGATTACAACCAATATCACAGAATAAAAGGGATCATTAAAGAATGCTAAAAACAATTGTATGTCAACAAATTGGACAATCTCTAGAAGAACTTGATAAATTTCTAGAAACATACAATCTTTTAAAACTAAACTATGTAAAAACAAAGAGAAAATCTGAACAACTGATTACTAGGAATAAAATGGAACCAATAATAAACAACCCACAACAAATAAAATCCCAGGTGAATTTTACCAAATATTTAAAGAAGAATTAATAGCTATAGTCCTCAAAATACTCCAAAAAAAAATGAGTAAGAAGGAGCACTGCCAGCCTGGTCGCCCATAACTCACTCTCCTTTTCTGCAGGCCTGGTCCCAATCAACTCCCTCCCTTACAGGCATGGTCCCTCCCAACTGCCCACCCCTGCAGGCCTGATCGCCCACAACTGTCCTTCCCTGCTGGCCATCTTGTGTCCACATGGGGGCAGCCATCTTGTGCTTCGGAGTGATGGTCAATTTGCATACTACTCTTTTATTAGATAAGATAGAAGCCTGGTGCAGGGGTGGGGTCCATCTGGTTTGCCCTGAAGGGTGTCCCGGATCAGGGTGGGGGTTTCCTTGGGGCTGGGGCAGCCTGAGAGAGGGGCCTGTGGTGGTTTGAAGGCTGGCCACCCCCTCCCCCACCCCAGTGACCCAAGCAGAGGCCCTGGTATCTGGGATTTATTTAACTTCTATAATTGAAACTTTGTATCCTTGAGCAGAGGCTAGGGCAGGCCAGGAAGCTTGACTTCCTCTATCTCCAGGGGCAACCCAAGCCTCCTGCTCTCTCCAGCTTCATGGCTGCTGCCATTTTTGTTGGGATTTATTTATCTTCTATAATTGAGATTTTGTAGCCTTGACGGAGGCTAGGGCTGGCCAGGGTGGGCAGGAACCTTCGCTTCCTCCATTGTCAGAACAACCCAACTCTCCTGCTTGCTCCAGCTCTGTGGCTGGCTGCCATCTTGCTTGGGTTAATTTGCATATCCACTTCTGATTGGCTGGTGGGCATGGCTTGGTGTAGCAGTGATGGTTAATTTGCATGTTACTCTTTTATTAGTATAGATTATATAGGTTGTACTACATATAATTTATATATAATTATACATTTGAACCTTGAACATTAGGGTTAATAGTGCCAACCACCACACAGTTGAACATCCATGAATAACTTTCTTTCTAATTTTATTTTTTTCTATCACCATTTATCCCCTCTATAGCCCTCTTCTACCCCTACCTCTTTCCCTCCTCTCACCTCCCAATTACCACACCATTGTCCATGTGCATGAGTTCTCTTTCTTTTTTTTTTTTTTCTTTTTTGCTCATCCCTTCTCCCCTCCCCTCCACACACATGAGCTGTCTGTTGCTATCTATAAGTCTATTTCTATTTTGCTTGGTAGTTCAGTTTGCTCATTAAATTCCACATCTGAGTGAAATCATATGGTACTTTTCTTTTTCTCAATGGTTTATTTCACTTAGCATAATACTCTCCAGTTCCATCCATGTTATGGTAAAGGGTAACATTTTCTTTCTTTTTATTTTATTTTTTTTCCAGAATATTTTTTTATTAAATTATTATCTGTGTACATATCTTACCATTGATTTTCTTTCTTTTTACAGCTGAGTAGCATTCCATTGTGTAAATGTGCCATAGCTTTTTTATCCACTCATCTACTGATGGACATTTGGACTGCTTCCAAATCTTGGCTATTATAAATAATGCTGCATTGAACATTGATGTACTTATATTCTTTCAAATTAGTGTTTCAGATTTTTTTGAATAAGTTTCCAGAAGTGGAATTGCTGCATTAGAGGCATCTCTGTTTTTTATTTTTTGAGGTAACGCCATACTGATTTTCACAGGGAGCTACACTAATCTGTCTTCCCACCAGCAGTGCACAAGGGTTCTCTTTTCTCCATATTCTTGCCAACACTTGTTACTGTTGGTTTATTGATGATAGCCATTCTGACAGGTGTGAGGTGATATCTCATTGTGGTTTTCAGTTATCTATTGTCCATCTCTATGTCCTCTTTGGAGAAGTGTCTATTTAGGTCTTTTGCCATTTTTAAAATGTTATTGTTTAGGTTTTTTTAGTGTTGAATTTTATGTCCTTTGCAAATTTTGGATATTAATACCTTATTAGATATATCATTGGTGAAAATGTTATCCAATTAAGTGGATTATCTTTTCATTTTGTTATTGGTTTCCTTTGCTGTGCAAAAATTTTTAGTTTGATGTAAACCCATTTGTTTATTTTTCTTTTGTTTCCCTTGCGCAAAGAGATATAGCAGAATAAATATTGCTACAAGAAATGTCCAAGACTTTACTGTGTATGTTTTCTTCTAGGATTTTTATGGTTTTGAGTTTAACACTTAAGTTTTTAATGCATTTTAAATTTATTCTTGTGTGCGGTGTAAGAAGGTGGTCTAGTTTCACTTTTTTTTTTTTTTTTTTTGCATGTATCTGTCCAATTTTCCCAACACCATTTATGGAATAGACTACCTTTAGTTCATTGCATGTTTTTGCCTCCTTTGTCAAATATTAATTCACTATAAAGGTATGGAATTATTTCTGGGCTCTCTATTTTGTTCCATTTATCTATATATATGTTTTTATACCAATACCATGCTGTTTTTATTACTGTGGCCTTTTAGTATAGCTTGATATCATACAGGGTGATTCCTTCAACTTTGTTCTTTCTCAGGATTGCTGTTGCTATTAGTGATCTTTTGTGGTTCCGTACAAATTTTTGAATCATTTGTTCTAGTTCTGCAAAATACACCATTGGTATGTTGATGGGAATCATGTTAAATCATGTTGAAGCTTTGGGTAGTATGGGCATTTTAATGATGGTTATTATTCCTACCCATGAACACAGTGTATACTCCCATTTATTTGTATCTTCCCCAATTTTTTTCTTCAGTATCATAATTTTCTTGCTCTTCTTTACATCCTTTTTTTAAAATAAATTTTTATTGTTTATATTATTACAAATGTTCCTTTTTCCCCCACTTCCACCACTGCTCTCCTCCACCAGGTTCCCATCCCACCCTCTGCCCTTTTCCCACTCCCCATTGTCCTCATCCATAGGTGCACAGTTTATGTTCAGACTCTTCCCACATCCTTCTCTTCCCATTTCCCCAAGAATCGTCAGTTCACTCCCCTTCCATACGTCTGATTCTATTATATTCAACAGTTAATATTGTTCATCAGATTTTTTTTTAATTTCCTTGGTTTTTAGATTCACTAGTTGATAGTTACGTATTTGTTGTTCATAATTTTTATCTTTGTTTACTTTCTCTTCTGAAAGAACCCCCTTCAGCAATTCATATAATTCTGGTTTGGTGGTGATGAACTCCTTTAGCTTTTTTTTATTAGTGAAACTCTTCATCTGACCTTCGATTCTGATTGCTAGCTTTGCTGGATAGATTATCTTTGGCTGTAGGTTCTTACTATTCATCACCTTGAATATTTCTTGCCATTCCCGTCTGGCCTGCATGGTTTCTGTTGAGAAATCAGCTGACAATCGAATAGGTGCTCCTTTATAGGTAACTACCTTCTTTGCTCTTGCTGCTTTTAATATTCTCTCTTTGTCTTTTGCTTATCCTTGATTAAATTTATTCCTAGGTATTTTATTCTTTTTGAAGCAATAGTATCTAATATATTACATATATTATACCATATTTTAAAATATATATTTTATTGATATTTTTTACAGAGAGGAAGAGAGAGGAATAAAGAGTTAAAAATATCAATGAGAAAGAAACATCGATCAGCTGCCTCTTACACACCCCCTACTGGGGATGTGCCTGCAACCAAGCTACATGCCCTTGACCGGAATCAAACCTGGGACTCTTCAGTCTGCAGGCCAACGCTCTATCCATTGAGCTAAACCGGTTAGGGATATATTTTTATTATGTGATATATATATATATATATATATATATATATATATATATATGGAATCTTAAGGGGAAAATGCTATATTTTTCTGTTTCTTATGAGATAAACACATGGTTACTTTTTCTGTTGATAATGATTGTGTTCATCTCTCTCAAAGCTGTTTCTAACTCTTCTGAGCAATTTAAAATCTTGTCTTTGTGAAACCTTGGAAACAAGTCTGTTTATATATTAGGCTAAACACATTCCAGGACTTGCTCAAATTCAAATTATTTTGTATACTTTTATAGTGCTTGATAAAAGACTTCATTATTTATGAGAAAATGTATTTTATCTTGAAAATGGTGTTCAAATATTAGCTAACTATTTTATGGAATGAATGTTTATGAAGCTGACATGACACCATCTCAAGAATCTGGCAGGTTCATTGAGCTTTTGCTTGCTTTTCTGAACATTTGTGAATAGCACACATTTCTTTATAATTTATACTAAAGTATGCAAATGTCAATGGTATGAAACAGCACTGCAGTGGAAAATTTAATATATTACTTTAGTAATGTACTTGAGCTAAACGAGTGAAGGTTTAATGGCACAGTAAAAAACACAATAATATATGACATTTTGAAGTGAATTAAATAATTTTGAACACAATTCTTTAACAATCAGTATTATACTGTTAATTCTTCAACAGGCAGTATTATCCTATATAATAAAAGGCTAATATGCAAATGTTTTCCTCTATCAGGATTTCGACCTAAAGTTTGACCAGGGGGCAGGGCTGGCCTGCCACCTGCCAGCAGCCACTCCCCTCAGCTGCCCCGCCCCCCCAACCTGATCACGGGTGGGCCCGCTGGCCAAGCTCCCGCATCCTCTTCCCTGGCTGGCCCAGCCCAATCAGCCCCGAATTCGTGCACAGGGCCTCTAATAGTTTTTATATAATACAAAGCATAATGATTACCCTTAATCCAGTATTTTCAAATTCATGTATGTAAAGTCATGTAAGCTGCACAACTTTCCTGTAAAAATTATTGGTTGCCAGTATTATACCTGTTTCTTCAGCTGTACTTTTTGATAATTCAAATTTTGTAAAGTAGGTTTTGTAAATTGTAATGTATCTGCTGCCTTTGTGAGGTACTGTATAATGTTACAATTTCTCCATGTAAACTGAATGCTTGGACTTTCAATACAGTATTCTAGAAAGCAATAAATTAAGAGAACTACTGTACACATAACAATATCAGATAAATCTCACAGAATTTATTTTGAACATAAAAAACCATTCATAAAAGATATGGTTAGTGTATGATTCCACTTATGTGACATTCAATAAAAAGTAAAACTAATTATGTTAGGATAGTAATTACTTTTAGTGTATTGGGATATTGACTGAAAAAGAGCATGAAATATTTTTGCTTTTGGTTACATGCATATACATATATAAAATTACATCAAGATATACACTTAAGATCAGTATATCTTACAGGTTTTGTTATGCCACAATAAAAGTATAATTAGATATGTATGAATATAGACATACACACAAACACATAATTATATTTATTGAGATATAAATACTGTAAATTGCTCTAATATATACATACTCACACATTATGCAAACTTCTTAAACAATGACTTTTAATTGAAATTTCATAGTACACATAATTTTACCTTTAAAATTAGTTTACTTAATCCACTGAATCTAAAGCAGTATGCCTCTACTATAATTTTAGATCTCAATCTAAGAGCACATGTTTTACTTAAAGTATTCTCACCCTTCCCCCCAATGATAGACTGCAAAAATATGGTCACAATTTGTTACAATTCCTGCCATCAAGAAATGGAGTCTGTTTTTAACTCCTTGAATCTGCACTGAATTTGTAATTTGCTTTTTTAATAGAATGAGGCAGAAGCCACATTATACTAGTTTTGAGTCTAGGTCTTAAAGGGCTCTGCAGTCTTTTGCTTGTTACTGTGGGAGCCTTGCCACTGCCACAGTGAAAAGCCCACACCGACCTGTTAGAAGGAGATAGCCCCCGGATCCATTTAACCAGTCCTCAGATGCCCCGTAGGTGCCCACAGATAAATGAATTAACTCAACTAAATTAATTGAGTCTGCGATCACCAGAACCAACCCATTAAGTCCAATGTAAATTCACAAACCACATTATCATGAGCTAAGTCGATGGTTGCTGTTATAAGTCACTAAGTTTTTGGATGGTGTGCAACAGAGCAAAAGCTAATTAATATCAATCCCTTAAAATTTTTTTACCTAAAAGAGTAAATTTTTAGTAAAATACTTTCATTTTTGGGCCACAGTCTATGGATACTGAGAAATATGAGCATTTGTTAGATCAATACTCTTACCTGAATTGGATTCCTATAGAAAGACTCCTTTCCAGAAGATGGGAATGACATGGCAATAATACGATCTGGAAGTCAAAATAGTCACTATTATGAATGCCATTATAGGTGCCAAACAATATGTGACAACTTAATTTACTAATAACCAAACTCCTTTTTTATAGAAAAAAAAAAAAACTTTCAGGATTGAAAATGACAGAAAAAGCTAACTAACCCTCAAGAAAATCAAGATAATATAGTAAATTATCCAGTACAATGACCATTAAACTCCCCAGTGTTCCCAATTCAGTTGGTTCCAGCCATATGCAACAGATTTGTGTTGACCTCAGCCTGGAGCTCCCCCTGTGGTGGGAATTTATTTCTTACTTAAACACCAAAGAAAAATGAGAGATCTGCGCTCCAGGGGTGTCAGGAACTGCCAGGATGCAGACTCAGAAACCTGACATCTACAAAGGAATGACCTGTTCTTTGAGATTCTAGGAAAGGGTTTTTTTGGAATTTTTGGACTTAGTATAACTACTCAATAAATTCTAAACCCAACAAATGGAGTCAACTGAAAATCCATTCAGTTCCTGTATTGTAACCAAGTAGACCTTATTTGAGATGACAATAAAAACATTGTCAGGGTTAAATTACAAATATGTCACACTACCATAGTGGCATATTTCTTCATGGATAAAGAATGCTTTGAAAGAACATGACTTAGACAAGACAAGAACAACAACAAAAAACCCACATAATTACTTACAAACACAAAAAAGTGAAATCAATGTAAGTAAATCAACAGTTAAACTTCACAAACCAGTAATGTAAGTGAGGTCTAAGTCAAATCCATCTTTCATGTATCGTCGTTTGTTTCCTGAAACCTGAGCATTTAAAAGAATCATTAATTTGTAAAACATAAATCAACATAAAAATAAAGATCATTATATAGATACCTATACCCTTGCCAGTATTTCCTAAAACACATTTTTTTAAATTTATTTTTTATTTTATTTTATTTTTTATTTTTTGTGAACCATAAACATGTTTTGCCCACTTACCATCCTTCTGGTCACCTTTTCAAGTTCTCTTTTTTGGTAAGCCAAATGAAAAATTCTTAGCAGAATGATAAGTCGTAGAGATCGAAGTATAATTACCAATCTAACAATAAATTAGAAAAATTAAATTTTGCTTTGGAAATGAGATTTTCTTAATGTGAACTAAATATAGAGCAGTGGTTCTTAACAAGGGATCATTTTGCACCTCTTACCCGATTCTTCCCACCCAGCCACCTAGGGGACATTGGGGATGTCTGGAGATATTTTGGGTTGTCACAATTGTGTGTAAGGGCATGCCATCTAGTGGCAGCCCCCATAATAAAGAAAAATTTGATCCCAAATATCAGTAGTAATGAAGCTGAGAAACTCTAGTTTAGAGAAATAGTTGTATGATAATAAACACTTAGAATTTTGTAGATTTAACTTTTGTGGTTTAAGATGAGTATTTTTCAGTCTTTTTCCCACCAATACAAACTCAGGATTTTTGTTGGCCTCTGTTACTTCCATCAATAACAGAGGTTCTCTTCAGCTGCTAACACATCAGGCAGGCAGCAGGTGGAGATACTTTGCAATGGGTTAGCTGGTGTCCCGCCTACCATCAGGAAGAAACACAATAGCAGAGAACTGATGGCGGGGACTAGTGCCTCTCTAACTTGAGTGCACAGACTGATTCAGTAGGTCTAGAATGGGGCCTTAGGTGTTTTTCTTCTTCCATTTTTAGCAAGCTCGTAGGTGATGTTGAGGTTGTAGGTCAGAGGACCATTCTGACCCCAGTTATTTTCAAACAACTCTAAAAGCCTATCAAATGTCAGAATCTGAATTGAAGTTCTGGGAAGCTGGATAGCAGAAAGAAGCAAATTATGTGAAGATCGAATAAGCCTAGTGAGCCACCCAACATTTACATCCCAGTCCACATTTGCTCTTCTTTTCCTCATTACCAGAGTAGGAAGAGGAAGAACAAAAAGAAAAATCCATCAGTGCCTCACACACGCTTTAGTTCCCTAATCCCTAACATTTCTAACTTTGCCTCAGCTTTCCCAATTTTAAATACACTATACTGAAAATGCTACCTCTGTTGCTACCCATGTCATCTAGTTTTATGTTCCATTTGCTGTTTTTTAGAGAATCATCATTGGAGTCATTAAAATTTTTCATATGCTCAAATCAATATTCTCTAGTAGAAAAAAACTAGGAATTTCATATGTCATTTGTGGTTGAAGCTCAAATTCCAATAGTGGGAATTTAAAAATGTAGAGAAGTTGAAGTTAGTACAGAGGTAAAGTCTCTAGTTTTTCCTTTGGGTGTTTCCATCTTCTTCATTCAACTAAAGTGTGTACACCTTTCACTGGACCTACCAAGCCTTTAGTTTCCGTGTATGTGGAAATTTGTCTAAACATTTCATTTTCAAGCAACTTATCAGGCACAGAATCAGGATATTCAAAGTTAAAAAGATTACACAGAATGAAAGCCACAAAAAATGAAGAAAATAATCTTTAAAAAAGAGAGATGAATCATGTGTTTCTTACCTGGGGATATCTTTTAAAATCTCATAGTCATAAAAAATATAAGTGAAATCAATTACTAGAGTCGATACAATAATGGCAGCATCCATGGAATTAAGTATATCAGAAAAATAGGATAGTATCCTGTAGTATAAAACAAAAAATATGTTTATGCCCCCCAAAGAAGAGATAGGGATATTTGTAAAAACACAGAGACTCATTCCCATTAAGCATTCTATTTTAATAAATTATTTAAGATTCACTTTATAAACTAGATTAAGGATATAATGTTCGTTTATATATATTTGGCAATTTAAATATAGTATGAGATATAACCAAACCATTTAAGAAGAGGCAAGCATTGCCTTTACATAGGTGCAAAAGAAAGGAAGGATGTTTGGCAGTACCACTGGGCAATGGAAGCTGAACATAACACACTTTTAGAGCAACCAGGACTGTGAAGAATGCACAACAAAAGCTTATGAGAGGAAGAAAGGTCCTCAACTTTGCCTGCAAACTTAGCATCTGGCTTTGCACCTGCAGCACAATCCCTAACTGATGACTCTCCTCCCAGCGTTGGCTCCCTCAGCCACGCTCTGACGCTCCAGGGAAGGCTTTCCCAATCTGGGCAGCCCTTTCCGCCTCTGAGTGACCTGGGAGTGGGCAGCTGTCCTTAACTCAAAGGCATTTGGATAGTTCATGAGGAAAGGAGACAAGCTGCCTTCTGAAATGATCTGGATGAAGGAAGGCTGGGGGATTTAGACCCTAACTCCCACAGCAATCCAGCTCCAAGGCGTGGCTCACTCCACGCACCTTCTCAGAAAGCAGCTGCTGCCTCAGTACCAAGCTGATGGAATAACCATGCCTCAGATCTCCTGTGGACCTTGAAAAAAGTTTTTATTTTAACTGAGGGAGAGGCTGTTTGTGTTCCTTTTAGTATTTCACATACTGTCAGCTTTTATTTAGATTCAGTTATTAATGAAATATTAATATTTATATAAATGTTTCACATACATGTTCCTCTTAATAATTTGTATGTAGACACATTCCTGTCTGGCTCCATTTTGCAAACCCAAAATGGGTTTACCTGTTGAAAAAACCATCCAGAATACATTGTCAGAGACTAGAGGGCCAGTTGCAACAATAATATTAGAGCCCAATCTAGTATAAATTGGGATTTGGATTGTTTCTCTTGTGGACTGTGCCTTCTAGGAGAGTTGTTTTAATAAAGAGAGACACATTTGGTTGGGTTGACCTGACAATTATTTGGGGATGCTTTTCATAGCAGTACAAAATAGCTTGATGCGCTTATAAAAAAATTAATCAAACTTACCCTTCTACAAATGCTCGAAGAAGAACATCCATGGAAAAATATAAAGCAATCGATAAAGAAATTAAACGATATTCCAAAGGAATATACATTGTGCTATCAGTGGTAAGTAGGTCTGCAATGATGAGGGACACATCCACAAAGACCAGCAAAATTCCAAATATTCTACAACAAATAAATAAAGAGAATAAAAATAAACTATATTTAGGCCAATAGTCTGATAAAAAAAATGTCATTATTAAAAATTAAACCATGTAGTGAACTACATTGCCTTAGAATCTGAAAAAATGTTACTCAGTTTTCATCCAATGGAAGCAGTTGTTAAGGAAACAAAGTTCCTATCAAACCACTTCATGTGATAATGTTCTTTCAGCATAGACACATCAGTACTCGGAAACAAGAATAGATTACCGTATTTTCCGGCGTATAAGATGACACAGTGTTCTAGTAAAAAGCCTGTTCAGATTGGCCAGAGTCAGAGAGGCGGTCTAATAAAAAAAGAACTGGTGTTGCCTCGGAAGTGGGGGGTAATCTTATACAGCGAATATAGGCCTAAACCTATGTTTTATCTGTAAAATTGGGGGTCATCTTATACGCCGGAAAATACGGTAATTGAATTAAAATTACATGCATTTGTTTGTAAACTCTTCTTAAAATTTTCAAATTTTATAAGGGCTTCTGTAAGTTTCTTAAAATAATTAAACTTTATTAATCTAAATAAATGTAAAGAATTTAGTGAGAAAAAAAACAAGTGAAATCATGACTAAATAAGCTCTTAAAAGACCACTTTGGCCAATAGAATTTTTTTATCAGTGAGATTTTACATATGGATGCTTTTAAAACAAGGCTGGGCACATGAGAAGAAATTCAATTTCATAAATACATACATGATTGCATACTAAAATATCTCCTAAGCTTTCTTTTATATACATTTTCAATTTTTCTTTTATTCTTTTTCGTACTGGCTTATTCAAGTTAGCATAATACTCTCCAGCTCCATCCATGCTGTTGCAAAGAGGTAAGATTTCCTTCTTTTTTACCGCTGAGTAGTATGCCATTGTGTGAATGAATACAGTTTTTTTTATCCACTCATCTGTTTATGGGCACTTGGGCTGCTTCCAAATCTTGGCCATTGTAAATTGTGCTGCTATGAACATAGGGGTACATATGTCCTTTCTGATTGGTGTTTCAGGCTTCTTAGGATGTATTCCTATAAGTGGGATCATTGGGTCAAATGGAGTTCTATTTTTAGGAAACTCCATACTGTTCTCCACAGTGGCTGCACCAATCTGCATTCCAGTAGCAGTGCACGAGGGTTCCCTTTTCTCCGTGTCCTTGCCAACACTTGTTTGTTGATTTCCTGTTAGCCATTCTGGCAGGTATGAGGTGATACTGTGGCTTTAATTTGCATTTCTCTGATGATTAGTGATGTTGACCATCTTTTAGTATGTCTACTGGCCATGTGTATGTCCTCTTTGGAGGAATGTCTATTCAGGTCCTTTGCTTATTTTTAATTTGCTCTTTAGTGTTGAATTTTATAAGTTCTTTATAAATTTTGGATATTAATATCTTATCAGACACATCATTGGTGAATATGTTCTCCCATTCAATGGATTGTCTTTTCATTTTGTTGATGGTTTCCTTTGCTGTGCAAAAACGTTTTAGTTTGTTGTAGTCTCATTTGTTTACTTTTAATTTTAATTTTTAATTTATTTATTGATTAAGGTATCACATATTTGTCCTCATGCCCCCATTCCCATCCCAAACCCCTCCCCATGCATATCCCCATCCCCCTGTTGTCTGTGACCCTGCTTAGGCTTATACGCATGTATATAAGTCCTTTGGTTGATCTCTCCTCCTTACCACCACCTTCCCCTACCTTCCCTCTGAGGTTTGACAGTCTCATCGATGCCTCCCTGTCTCCGGGTCTGTTTTTGTTCATCAGTTTATGTTGTTCACTATTTCCCCTAGATGCGTGAGATCATGTGATATTAGAAAAACAGTGCATTCTAGTGTATTTGTATTTTTTTATTTTGTTTCCTTTGTCTGAAAAGATATATCTGAAAAAAAATGTTATGAGAGATGTGCAAGATTTTACTGCCCATGTTTTCTTCTAGGATTTTTATGGGTTTGGGTCTAGCATTTAAGTCTTTAATCCATTTTGAGTTTATTTTTATGTAAGGTGTAAAATGATGGTCAAGTTTAATTTTTTTTGCATGTATATATCCAATTTTCAGAACACCGTTTATTGAAGAGACTATATTTACCCTATTGCATGTTATTGCCTATTTTGTCAAATATTAATCAACCATAAAGGCATGGATTTATTTCTGGTATTTCTATTCTGTTGCATTTATCTATATGTCTGTTTTTATGCTAGTACCTTGCTGTTTTGATTACTATGGTCTGATAGTATAGTTTGATATCAAGCAGCATGATCCTTCCAACTTTGTTCTTCTTTTGCAAGATTGCTGAGGCTACTGGGGTCGTTGTGGTTCCATACACATTTTTTAAAAAATATATTTTTTATTGATTTTTTTACAGAGAGGAAGAGAGAGGGATAGAGAGTTAGAAACATCGATGAGAGAGAATCATCGATCAGCTACCTCTTGCACACCCCCTACTGGGGATGTGCCTGCAACCAAGGTACATGCCCTTGACTGGAATTGAACCTGGGACCTTTCAGTCCACAGGCCAACGCTCTATCCACTGAGCCAAACCGGTTTTGGCTCCATACACATTTTTTGAGTGTTTGTTCTAGTTCTGTGAAATATGCCATTGATATCTTGTTAGGAATTATGTTGAATATATGTTACTTTGGGTAGTATGAACATGTTAATGATGTTAATTCTTCCCTTCCATGAACATAGTTTATGCTTCCAATTATTTATATCTTCTTCAGTTTCTTTTTTAGTGTCTTATAATTTTCCCAGTACAGGTCTCTTAAATCCTTGATTAAATTTATTCCTTATACTGTATTTTATTAATCTTGATGCAATTGTAAATGGAATTATTTTCTTAGTTTCCCTTTCTGATAGTTCATTATTGGTATATAAACATTCAACTAATTTCTGGATATTTATTTTGTATCTTGCTATTTTACTGAATTCTTTTTATTAATTCTAGTGTATTTTTTTATGGATTCTTTAGAGTTCAAGGTATACAATATTTTGTCATCTGCAAATAATAGTTTTACTACTTTCTTTCCATGTTGGATGCCTTTTATTTCTTCTTTTTGTCTGATAACTGTGGCTAGGACTTCCTATCCAAACTATGTTGATTAACAAAGGTGAAAGCGGATACTTGTTTTCCCCATAAGGAAAATGCTTGTAGTTTTTGCCTATAGATTATGATGTTGGCTGTAGTTTATCATATATAGCCTTTATTACATTGAATTATGCTCCCTCTATTCCCACTTGCTAAGAGTTTTTATCATGAGTGGGTGCTGGATTTTATCAAATGCTTTTTCTGTATCTATTGATGTGATCATGTGATTTTTTATTTCATTTTATGTGATATATCACATTATTGATTTGCAAACATTGTACCAACCTTGCATCCCCAGAATAAATTGCAATGTATGATCTTTTTAAAAATAAAACACAAAGTTTGATACGATTTCATATTTTCTTAAACTGTAGAGACTTGTTTTGTGTCCTAAAATGTGGTCTATCTTTGTGAATGATCTATGTGCACTTGAAGAGAATGTATATTTTGCATCTTTGGGGTGAAATGTTCTATAAATGTCCATTAAATCCATCTGATCCAGTGTGTCCTTTAGAGTCACTGTTTCCTTGTTAAGTTTTCATCTGGAAAATCTATCCAGTGAAGTCAGCAGGGTGTTGAAGTCCCCTACTATGACTGTATTGTTGTGAATCTCTCCCTTAAAGTCCTCTAGAAATTTTTTTATATATTTAGGTGCTCCTATATTAGGTGTATATATTTTGATCAGGGTTATATATTCTCTTGTTGGGTGATCCTTTTGGTGTTATATAGTGGCCTTTGTTGTCTCTTGTGATGGCCTTCATTTTGAAATCTATTTTGTCAGATATGAATATTGCAACCTCAACTTTTTTCTTATTTTCATTTTCATAGAAAAAAAATTTTCATCATTTTATTCTCATCTTTTGTGGGTCTTTTGTTCTGAGGTGAGTCTCTTGTAGACAGCATATAGGGGGGTCATGTTTTCTTATCTATTCAGCTATCTTATGCATTTTGATTAGAGCACTTAATCCATTTACATGTAAGTTTATTATTGATTGGTACTTATTTATTGCCATTATTTTTTTTTTTTTGCAAAACCTAAACCACATACATGTTATTTTCAAAACTTGAATGTCAAGAGCAAAACTCTGGCTATTAAATAACAACAACAATGCCAATGCAAAACAACAAAATGAGAAATCAGAATTATGGACATATTATTCTTAGCTACTAAATGAGTCTCTTTTGTTGCTGGTGTAGATTTACTCAGAGTCCTTGGATTTGCTGCACAAGACTTTGCAGAAGACTGGAAGCTAACAGATGCTAGCATGAGCAGGAACATGATTAAAGAAGTAGCTTCCACTTCAGTCTTTAATTTCTTCAGATGACTCCATGTTCGCACCTAAGTCCCTTGCGTAGCCTTCAGTTTTCTTCTCCCACTTTGCTGTCGTCTGGGCAACTCTCAGTCCTTTTGGGTGAAGGGACACAGGAGCTTCTCTGAGTCCATTGTGATGATGAACCTAACACTCTGGTACCCAAATTGGCTGCATTGCTCCTTCTTTCCTTTCATTTTGAACCCAGGGTTCAACCCCACAACATTCTGGGCCTGGCTGCTCCGGGCCTGGCTGCTGCTGCTCTGGGCCTGGCTGCTGCTGCTTCAGGTATTTATTGCCATTTTAATTCTATATTCCCAAGTTTCTCTCTTTTTTTATTTTTCTCATTATAGCAGTCCTTTTAGCATTTCTTGTAATGCTGGCTTGGTGGTGATGAACTTCTTTAGATTTTTTTTTTTTCTGCTAAGCTCTTTATTTCACAATCTATTTTGAATGATAGCTTTGATGGATAT